GCCAAGATTTATTGTACAAACTATAACAAGAATGTATTACTAACCAGAATCTTGAAACTCACTGAAGTTTTGTGAAGTATATGGAAGTGAAAAATGAAGTCAAATTCCTCTTGTGCTCAGCTGCTCAGTGCGTGGTTGAAAAGACCCTGAAGGTTTCTAAACGACATCCAAATGCTTAGTACTACTCAGAGAAGGAAAGGTCTGGCACATGAATGCAATCTGAGCAATTAGGCAAACGGAGTGTCACTGGAATTTCACTAGAAATCCCTAAAAACTCTCCTCAATTTTGTCAGAGTGACATGGAACCCCAAATTTTCACTCCATGTAGTAGTGACTCTTTAATCAACAATTCTTGATTATACTCTAAATAGCTCCTGCAAGGAGGCAAAAGCACTAGGTGCCAAATTAAATCCTTTAAAAAAAAACTAAAGGGACTGGGGCTGGGGTTCTGAGGTAGCGCACTTGCCTGGCATACGTGAGGCACTGGGTTCGATTCTCAGCACCATATATAAATACATAAATAAAATAAAGGTCTATCAACAACTTAAAAAAACTAAAGCATCTACAAACCCAACTAATAGAGAAATTTCCTAAAATGTACAAAGCAATACTGCTAATGACCAACCTATATATCTGAGTTATGAAGAGACCTCTTCAGGTCCAAGCTAACTTACTGATCCAGCTGCTTGTCCTCTCTAGACGCCTCCCCTTACAAAAATAAGAAAGAATCCCATCATTTAACAAAAGAGAGCTATGAGATAATACATATATGTATATACTTCTGAGTTTTGTGCTGAGTGGCATATATGAAAATCTTGTCTTCATCTACCATCCACTCCAAACAGATATTCAAACAGAAATACAAACAGTATTCAGCCAGGCATGGTGGCACATGCCTATAATCCCAGTGGTTTGGGAGGCTGACGCAGGAGGATCCTGAGTTCAAAGCCAGACTCGGCAAAAGTAAGATGCTAAGCAACTCAGAGAAACCCTGTTTCTAAATAAAATACAAAATAGGGCTGGGGATGTGGCTCAAAGTGCCCTTGAGTTCAATTCCCGGTAACACTCCTACCATCCCACACACAAAAATACAATATTCATAGTTTTGATTGTAAAAGCATGCTTAGTTGAGCATTTCATAACTGTTTCTTCTTTTATTTTTTTTAATATTTTTTAGTTGTAGTTGAACACAATACCTTTATTTATTTATTTTTATGTGGTGCTGAGGATTGAACCCAGCGCCTCGCACATGCTAGGTGAGCACTCTACTGCTGAGCTACAACCCCAGCCCCTCTCAACTATTTCTTCTTAACATGCTTGATAACTTCTATATTTTTTACCCAGATCCCAACCCTTTCCTTGAGTTCATATATATGCTACAACAGTGGGAAATAAAAGTTCTCTCTTTCTCAAATGCTGAGAAGCCTTGAAATGCTCCTTGACTGGTTTTCATTTCCTGATCCTCTACCCCTACCTTCACTCTCTCTGGTGTGAATCTGGTTTATAAAGACAGTAAAGAGAATCAATAGGGATAAACAGATGGGATCTGAAATAACTACACATGTAAACTTAACAAGGCCCACCTTCCTGTTATCTAACCCAGAGTTCACACACCTGCTTGGGCTGACAGGCTCCTTTGTCATATGGCAAGTAGTAGCTTGGAGAATTCTGTTTATAATTTTTGGAAGTGTGCCCAGAGTTGCCCCAAACCTCATTAAAGTACATCTGATAGTGACTTCAATTGTTTGAATGTTTTAAATCACAAGAGGAAAAACACCCACCAACTTGTAACTATTTCCAGAACCTAATAATCCACAAGGAGGATTTAAAATAAATATATAAATAAATTATTTTTACAGACTCACAATAAAGTGACCAAAAAAAAAAAAGATCAATAATAAGTATCTAAACTGAACATTCTATTTCTATGTAAGAATAAGATATGGAGAAGGCACAAGAGAAAGAAACAAGGAAAGCATACTTGCCACTTGAACTTTCTAAAAGCAGTATTCCCAGGTTGCTCTTCAGTCTTTTGCTTACATAAATATGCTAAGAGGCCTTAAAAAAACCACTCGCTTGGTTTTCACTTCCTGATACTCTACCCTACCCTTCACAGTGTTTTAATGGTAATTCTGACTTTTAGCTTCTAAGGAAGGATCCAACAAGAACTCATACCCAAAGCCTAMGTATAAAAGGATTAATGAAAAGTACTAGAAATTAAACACTTGAAATATCTCAAAGTCTACGTGTTTTCATGTCACAATTGTCAATTTCTTAGTTGAAATGAATTATTTTTAAATTCCTGCAATATATTTTTAATCAGAAAATCTTAAGATACTTTAAATAAATATCCATAGAATGTAAGCTATAAAAATGCTAAGTGTGCCTTTTATAGCCTTTATAATAGATAAACAGGAAACAAAGGCAAGCAGCCAGATAAAATTGCTATAGGTGCTGGCTAGTCATGCCRTTTTATGATCTGTAAAGTCTTCACTGTCTTTAAAACACACAAAAATGAAACAATTTACACTGATTAGGAGCTTAAGAAGAAATAACCTGCCAAGAGAATAGAAGGATTTATTTTGTTTCTTGGTTATCCAACAGGAATTATGCTTAAGAAATCTTAAATGCCAAAAAAGAACCTTGGCATCAGTTTTAAAACAAATAAGAAAAAAATGTTAGTTAAGAAATACATTTTCAAACAAAAAAAGGTACAATCGAACCAAACATAATTCGTAGAGAATTAGATATCATTATCATTGCAATTCTAAGCTAGTTTAGATATCATTAAAATTGTTGAATTAATTGTTTTGGAGATTGTAAAAAAAATTCTTAAAATATCCATCTTTTTTGAGTATTTGTATTTAAAATTGCTATACAACAAACCAAATGTTTAGACACACACACGTATCCAGTATACACTAAATGATCATAAAGATAAATAATCTATTGCTGAAAAATGCTAATATATCTGCTACCCTATAATCTTTAAACAGTACTATAGGAATAAGCAGACAGATGTATTTTGTTCAGATATTTCTTTATATATGTGTATTCTCAATGTGAAAAAATTTAAATAAAATATCTTCTTTAACCAGAACAGTATGTAAGACCTCAAAGCTTCATTGTTCACTAATCCTCTTAATCAGCATCAAGGAAACAACTTCAAAATAATACTTTAAATAACAGCTCTGTGGAAGAGACAAAGCTCCTTTTTAATTCTACTKATGTTTATTAATACCGCTTTTAAGAGTTTATAAAATGTTGTCTTTTCCACTATTCACAACATGAATATCATAGTAAGACCTTGGAATATCAGATCTTAGAGTTATGTTGGAAGCTGGATTACTTCCTAATTTCAAGAAAATAAAAATAGCACCTTTAATAATTAAATACAAAACGAAAAGTTCCTAAGCAAAAAAGAATTTTTAAAACAACAATACTAGTATGGCTTGCACCCAGACATTTTTTAAACTTCAGCAATTAGAACTGCTGAAATCTCACCTAGATTTAAAATTAAATGTATTTTCCAAACCAAATTAGATCTGAACACTGATATATTGCATCATTAGATGAGAAATTGAACTATTCTAGCTTTGACCTTTTCTCTGGTTGCAGACACATCAATACCCAAATTTGTCAGCTCAGAGATGATGCTCTGTCATGCCCACAGAAGTCAGCATCATGGAGAATTAAAGAAACCACTAAATACTTTTGCCTTGCTTGGAAATAGGAGTTCAAACCAAACTCTATGTGTTCTTAGATATTTGTCCCTGTCTTCTCGTAGCTCAGAGGGCCTTCTGGGGTCTTTGTGAGCTGAACCCCACCGGTCCTTCTGTCCTCCAGTTCCACACCCCTTGGCCATAGTCAAATGAATTGCTCAGGGGTCCCCCTTTCTGCCCGACTCTCCCACTTTTGCATCTCTCTCCCCTTTAGAACTCTATCCCCTAACCTCCCTCCCCTGTTAACCCTGTACTTCACAATAGGACTTATTCTGGGAAGCCTCCCTTAACAGGAAACCTAGGAGGTCTGGGGTAGACAAAGGCTAAGACATCCCTTTTTTATGGACCCAGAATAAACAGTCTTAATATTTGCCATACAGTTTTGCATTTCCACCTCTTACCAATATATAACAAAGACTCCAGTCGGAATCTAAATCTAGTTCATTTATCTTCTAATTATCAGATCTAATGAAGTTCCCAGTACATTACAATAAATATTCAAGTCAAAATTATTGAGAAGATAAATGAATAAATGTGAAAGATAAGCCAACAGGACTTAAGGATACGATACTCTGGTTTTATAGTAACAGATTTTTACTTTAGAAAGCAGATATTGATGTGATAAAAAGTATAAATTTAAAATTTTTTGTATTCTATACAAAAGACTTCTAATTTTATATAAAAATGTAGCACAGAAATTAAATTTTAGTAGAATAAAAGATCTTTAAGTGCAGAAGTAATTCATAGGATTCATATAGAATTACAGAAACTAAATACAACACAAAAATAAATATTATCTTCATCAATTCCTTTTAGGTTTCAACAAAATCATGTCAAAAGTAACTATTCCTATTCCTTGACCACAGGTTTCACCAAATTAAAGATAAAAATCAAAATAAATAGGGACCCTAAAAATTGGCTTTGAAAGTCAATATAGGTCAATGGCTATTTAGTGTGAAATTAGTGAAAAGAGGGAAAACCTCTGCCTACTTCCCCAATTCCAATGCTTTGCAAAATGACATAAAACACGAATCTATAATGATGAAATTCTTTCATATCAATTTGAACAGTAACTCCCACAGAGTTTTTTGGTTTTGACACTTCAATGTGTCATAATCTGGATAAAGCATAAATCAAAATGTCTTTTCAACAGAGCCAAAATAATAACTTGAGTTAAAAAATAGATCTCTATTTCTTACATTAGACACAGTTATTAGACTACAATAAAAATTATGACCAAACTGGAAATGGTGTTCCAAGATATTTGAGGATCCTTACCTAATCCTATTCGGTTTGGACTTGTTTCTCGGCTACACCCCTGACTCCTGGGAATCTTGCTTCGTTTTTCTGAAGATGGTGTCACAGGTGGGCCTCTCGAAGAACCACCAGCAAGTCCACCATAGCCACTTCCCAACAATTTCCCGGGGGAACTCGACCGACTGCCAGCTAAAAATGAAGCAATACAGAAATGAATGATGGATGTAAATTGACTAATGGATTACAACAATTTCAAAATCAAGTTTTTATATATCAATTTTGATTAAATATGAAAAGAATTTTATATAAAATAGATTTTGTTGGTGGTAGTACTACTTTTTAAGAAATGTATGCACATAAAAGAATATCATAAAAAGATCACATCCATGCTTAGAAGAGTTACTGGTGGAATTCTACAAAGTTGCACAATTTCTGACTCAAAAACTGAAGGCAAATGTTAGGCAAATGTTCTACCCCTGAACTATATCCCCTGTCCCTATCATTTGGGGTTTTTATTTTATCAGAGTATGTTAAAAATTTAAGTGTAGAAGAGCAGAAATATAACTGTAACAGAAATCTGTTAAGCATTAATTAGGGAAAATGGATAAAAAAAATTGCCATTAATTTAACAGATGGAAGAGGAAAAAAGGAGGAGAAATAATTAGAAACATGGGTTTAAAAACATTCACAAACATTTCAGTAATCATAACAAAGGTGGCCTGATTAAATTCATCTACTAAAAGACAGGGCTTCTTGAATTGATTTAAAAACAAACAAAAAAACACATGCTGTTTTTTTAAGAGTCAAATAACACATCTACAGAAAAAGAAAAAACAGAATAAAGTACAGCATTTAAAAAGGATAGAGAAGGAGACTTAACACTGATTTAAAAAAATAACTTTCTATGAAGGTCATAACTACAAATGTTCATGCTCCAAACAATATAGCTTTGAAACATAAAACATAAAAAAGATTAAAATGTAGGGAAAAAGCCATAATTCCTAACAATGTCAAGAAAGACTGACAACCCTTTCAGACAAACTGACATAGCAAGCAGACATAATTCTATGTGTATGTGTTTTGAGTATATGTATATATACAGTCACATGCTGCGTAACAATGTTTTGGTCAATGACAGATCAGAGCAGTAGTCCTGTTTGATTATGTGGCCTGGTGATGTTGCCATCTCAATTTGTGTAAGCATACTCAGTGATATTCTCATATCAACAAAATCACCTAACAATGCACTGCTCAGAGTGTATCCTTATCTTTAAGCAACCCTACAACTGTGTGCGCGCACGTGCCCCCCCCACACACACACCTCCTATATACACATTATCCCAGCAGATAAAACATATTCTTTTCACCTTTCCAGACATAAAACTAACTGCATACTAAGCCTCAATGCAAGTTTCAAAACAATCTGCAAAAGTGGAAATCACATAGACCATATTTCCTGGAAAATATGCAATACAACTGGAAATTATAAGCAACATGGTAATTTTTATTAATAGCTAAGTAGCTAAATACCAACCTAACCATTTCCTGTAGGAAAAAATTGTCTGTCAAACAGCAAAATTTTTAGCATTATACCAGTGTACACCCTAATAATCATTAACTTGGATCATGTCCTTAAGCAGAAAGGTAATAAAATTCTAAAATGCAAAGCATACATTATTTTGTACCAAAATAGAATGGTCTGCAGGGCGAGTGGGGGTGAGTCCTTTGAAACAGTACTTACCTGGAAATTTTACACACAGACAACACGCAACATATATTTTTAAAATATATTAAAATTTATATTTCAAAAATTTACATTACATTTAGTAAAACTACTATCAGTCATATGAATCAGCTGGGTGACTTTTGCAAAAAAAAAAAAAAACTTTAAAATGATTTAACTACATGATTGTGAAAGTCACAAAAATCAATAATACACATTACCATGAAGAACTGCCTCAGGACCTATTAATTTTGCCTATAAAATTTGAGCACATAAATAAACTGCTAAGCTATGTAAAAGAGRAAAAGAAATCCATTTCAAACTCTAGTATTTGAACATACAGAAAAATGCAGGAGATTAATTAAGCTCATAAAAAAGAAAAATTAATATTGTGCAAAGAACACAGGGTGAGGGAGAATGCAAAAAAACAAAAAAGGCAAGAAGAGATATGGCTTACCACCAGCAGGATTAGCAGATCTGGATCCTTGATTATGAGAGCAGACCAAAGGACAGGCAAAAGTGGATTAAAAGACAATAACACAATATAGCAGGTCAGCATGCAACACAACGCAAATGTCTCATCAACAAACACTTCAGCAAAATAGCTATTTTTCCTGGGACTAGTTCCTCCTCATCTACTTATGTACATATGTCTATTTTATACTCATCACACTATATTAGCATTTACTTCACATCTGTTCATAAAACATAAGTCTACAATGTGCCTGTCAGGCACAGTGTTAGGGTCAAGAGATGTGGAAAAGAATAAGATCAGCATCTCACCTTTCCAGAGAACATCTCCTCTCCAGGTCTAAGCAATATGAGGGAAGTGAGCATAATTTGCTCATTTGTGTATCACTATCATCTTCAACAGAGTAAGTATTCGACATGTATCGATGACTGGAAAGAAACTGCCACTGACTAATTTCACCTGAATGTTCTACCACTTTCTTTAATCCACAAATATTTAAAATATGCCAATTATTAAGGGCTGTAAATCTAATATTAATAAAACGTACTTAGTATTAAACAGGAACTATCAATTCTGTTTTATAACATATGTACATATACATATAGGTGCATTTATGTCGATTTCTTATTGAAATAATTGCTAAAAGTATTTAATTTATACGCATAGGCTTACGGTGCAGGCTTAACCATATGCTGCTGTTTGGTGGTCTCCCTTCCCGTGGGTTAGTCAGGCAAGTAAAATAAAGCTAAAGAGGTTTAAAGTGGATCCCTAGGGCCAGCTTCAGTATGTTGATAAGTATACAGAATTAAAAAGCTCTACCCCACTGAGTCTCTCTAGAGAAGGAATTTTGATCTTCACCACTCCCTAAGCACAAGTAACAAATGGATTCCTAAAACCTATACTAGGGAGGGAGGGATACAGTATTGACCTAGCTGAGGCAGGAACCCTGCAGAGGCCAATGCCAATGAACAGCAGACTAAAAGAAATGCTTACTACTGTTCAACCCTCATCTCTACAGAAGGAAATAACACTGCACAGTTAAAGGCAAAGATGGTTTTTATTAGACTAAATTTCTTTATATTGACCTTCATTACATTTCTGGTCAAGAAGAGTTATTCATAGTAAGATCTGACCAACGTTTATGAGGACATGGCTGGACATTCCAGGAATCACAAGAATTCAACCCAAGAATGAATTGAGGTGCAGCCAGCTGCCAAGGCAGAAGCTTCTGGGTAATACCTACACCCAGATCTGAATGGAAAACCCAGAGAAGTAAGACTTTCTTCACTTAACAGAGTCTATTCTAGCCTCACAGTATTCCCCATCACAGAAATTCATCCCTAGATTTCTTTCCTAAGCCTCATAGTGGTCATGGATAAAGGCCACTTGATTCAGGCTGAAGCCAATATGGTTCTAATGCCTGTTTCTGTTTACTGAGTGTCCATCACAGGCTAGCTTCATATTTCTTAATAAATCCTCACAAAAGCCCCATGCGGGTGGGCTTTGTTTCGGCTCCATTTACAGACAGTGAAACAAAGGCCCACCAAGTTAAAAGATTCATCCAACATCCCACTGGAGCGAGGATATAAAGGAATCAGGTTTGTGTGACACTGAAGCATGTGTTTGTTGCATACTGTACTACACCTTACCACATATGTCAGAAAGATTCTGTAGCCTCACTAGAGGCAGCAAAGGGACTGACTTTCCACTATTCTTGGCAAAAAGATCTAAACTTTTTAACATGAGGACTACAGTTGCCAAAAGGGACATGGAAAAAAATCTAAATTCACGGGATTATAATGGGCATTCTCAATACTAAGCAAGATCCCAAGGTTTGGCTGTAGTAAGTACCCCACAAGAGCTAGACAGCTCCTGGGGACAAGATGGTGATAGATTCATGCCAGCTAAAGAAGCTTTGCTAAGGGAATGTGAATATGTGCAGCTCCTGAGGACAGAAAGACCCTTTCTGCCCACACTCCCTTTGCCCTGGGGCACGCTCTTTGTGCACAGAGGCAGCAGACCACTCACGCCTACATGGAACAGGAAAGTGAGACAGCAAGGTTGGATTTGGACACTGATCAGAATTAATCCATTCCAGCTACACTGCTTTCCTAGCTGAGCTCTCAAATGAACTGACTTCACATATACAGAAAAGCAATCATGGAAGCGAGCAGGGGCAGCTAGGCAAAGCAAGAGCCCACACTGGTGAGAAGACAGGTGCAGGCTATAAATGTTAGCACAGAGGGTTAAAGGGGGAGCATTTAATGGATTTACTTATTTACCCCTGGAAAAAACTCAGCATTCATTATTTCTGTACAGGTTCTGCCCTAAAATTACATCAGAAGGGTTCCTTGTCAATAACAAAAATGGGTCACAGAACAGATAGGTTTCAATTTGAGAGACTTCAGAATGGGAAGAGAGTATACTTTAATGCTTAACCAGCACAAGGTTTAAGTCACCTGGAAAGGACACCAGATTATGACTGGAATAATCCATTTTGTAATCTTACCAAGAAATAATGTGATTACCACAGTATCTTAGAGCCACAAAAGTGCATCTTTCCCTTGAAACCAGTTCAAATACTGTGAACTGCTCAACTGGAGAAYATGCTGTTGAATGAAACTAAGGTTATCAAGAAGGAAACTAGGGTAATCTTACGCTGAGACTGTGAAACCACTTTAGCACGACTTCGGCCCCGACTGTCAGAAGGTGTAGAAGCAACATTGGTGGCACTCCCGGAGCTTTGTCTTCTTGTGCGTATGCGACCTGGAGGACATAGAAAAAACATGTTTCCGTAACATTTTTAGCAAGTGTGACCTACTTGAGAAAAGAACCTACATCACGAGCAAAGGGCACTGATGGAGTCAACTATGTAGGAAGCAGGGGCTTTTTTTGAACCAAGTCTCCCCCCCCAAGTGAGATCTGATACCAGGATGATCAAGAATGACAGTTTTTAAAAAATTCTCCACAGGGCTTCTCTGATTTCAAGGGAGCACAAAATGCCTCTCCTGCCAATCCAATCAGAATGGGTCTGACAGGGAAAACAGGAACTAATGTGAACTTCTTCTGCCTTCTTATATTGTTCAAAGTTTCATGTACCCCAGCATCTGGCAAAGCTTGCAGAAAAGAAATGCAGAAAAACAATCCCAAGGCCTGAAGGAGGCTTAAGAAAGAAAAGTAAGGAATAATAAAGAAAGCACAACATTAAAAAAAAAAAAAAAAACTGCAATCAATCACTTATAGTAGAAATTTAAGGAAAGATATACAAAAATTATAGAATCTACATGAGAATTAAGTTATATTGTTTACCCTATTAGAAACTATATGTCTACTTGGAATCTTCACAACATAAGAAGAAACTGTTGCCATTTTAAGATGGGAAAACAGAGAAACAAAGAAGATTTGTTTATGTCACACCACTGGTTTGGATACCTGTGCCTGGCAGGTCAGCTGGCCTATGAATGAGGTCCTTTGATTCTCCTAAGTCACCAAAGCAATCAGACAAAATGAACATGGAGAAATTACTGAGTCTAATTTCTTATTTTAAATTACAAAAAGATTTTTAAACTGAACATGTAGCCCATTTGGCTTAAAAACAAAAACCCTCTTTGCTACCCCCTTAAATCTTATGTCTTCCTCCAACATTTGGTAACAAGATCTTAAACAAACTCAAGTGTCCAGCATTTCCTTGCATTTCTTATTTTGTAAATAAATATACTTCCATAGCCAAGAAAATACATGGCACTGTTTTGAATAATTTAAAATTTAAATTGTAACACAAGTTATATTTTTCCCTAAAATGCACTGCTTTGCTCAATACTGTATTTGTGAGGACCCTAAGGGGATTTTTTCCATACCACTGACCAATACTCAGATTAAATTTACTTAACTCTTCTTATTGACTTACAATGCTACTTTTGTCGTCTTTTCCAAAGGTCTGACTCAATTTTTATAGACTCATCACAGGTGCTTTTTAAAAAATTCTACACAGTATATTTTATTAAATTATAATTTATAACTATTATTGACATATAAAAATGTAATTAATCAYTATATTCTTATCTTAACCCTAGGAATGCTGTTAAACTTTTACCAATTCCACTGACTTGTATATAGACTATTTGGAGGTATCGAAACAGAATGTTATCTACAAATAAGACGCCAACTGCTTCCCTTCAAATCATTTAAATTTTTTTGCCATTAATGGGCTGTCTTAGTCATGTATCACTATGCTAAATAAAAGCAGTGAGGGTAGACAGGCATTGGTGACTCAAAACCAGATTTAAAACCAATTCTGAGCCAGGCATGGTGGCATACTATAATGCCAGTGACTCAGGAGACAAGGGCAGGAGGATTACAAATTTGAGGACAGTCTTAACTTGGTAAGACCTTGACCCTGTCTCAAAAAAAAAGAAAAAAGAAAGAAAAGTGAGGTGGTGGGGCTTGCTGGGGATATAGCTCAGTGGTAGAGCACCCCAATAGTATGAAAAAAAAATATATCTGAAATGTCATAGTATATATAATCTTAACAGGTTAAAAATATTCATTTCTATGCTAGTAGCTAAGAACTTTTGTCATAAATGTTCATTGAAGTTTCTGATGCTCTGCATCTTTTGAAATAAGAGCTTTTTACCTGAATGTGAACTAAACCTGGGATATACCATGTGGTCATGTCATACACACACACCACAGAGAACATGTGCATTGCACTCTAATGCTAAGGTTAAACCAGTGAGAGGAGTTCCTTCCTTTTCTGTTTTGACTTTTTCTTAAGATTGAAATGTTTCAACACCTGAGACAACTTGTATACATAACCATCTGAGTGAGCATGGTAAGTATCTTTAAAAAAAAAAAATTTTTACCATGTTAACTAATTGTACATATTTATGGAATAATTTGATACATTCATACAATGTGTAATGATCAAACTAAGGTAATTAGCATTTCTCTCCAATTAAACTTTAACCATTTCKTCACATTGGGAACCTCTGAACTCCTCTCTTTTAAGTCTTTCTAAAATGTATAACAAATTGTTAAACTATAGACTCCTTATTGTGCTGTAGAACACTAAAAATACTTCCTCTTATCTGGCTTATCTGGCTCTTATCTGGTATCTGCTGCCCAATTTCTGCCTCTCCTCTCCCCATTTCTTTTTTGGGAGGTGTAGGGTAAGAGAGTTTTAACAGATTTTTTAAAAACTGCTTTTATTTTTTAAACGCATGACAGTGGAATACATCACAATTCTTACTACACATGTAAGAACATAATTTTTCATATCTGTATATAAATTATGTTCACACCAATTCATGTCTTCATATATGTACTTTGGATAATGATGTCCATCACATTCCACCATCATTGCTAACCCACTCCCTTCCCCTCTTTTCTCCCCTCTGCCCTATCTAGAGTTCCTCTATTCCTCCCATGCTCCCTCTCTCCCTACAAGTTTTAACAGATTAAAGTACTTAATGTAGTCTTACAACTACTCAAATTGTTTGTTTTAATAAAATAGTTTTGGGTTTTCCTGAAATTTGTCTATAATTATTTTTTAAATTATCAAAATAAGTTGCCTCCTATTGATCCACATTTTCAACTACTTTATCTTCATAGTTAACTTGTACCTTTTTTCTGCTTCAATTGACGTTTCCCAAAGTTTGCAAATTTTATTAGTTTTCAAAGAATTGAATTTTATGTTTCTTAACCCTCGCTACTGAGTGTTTATTTTCTATTTTATTAGTTTTTACTCTTATCTTCATTATTTTCTTCCTACTCTTCTCTGGGTTGGCTTTGTTTGCTTTTCTTTTTTTTTTTTTAATTTATCTTTCTCTCTATTTTATTTTATTTTTTTTTAGAGAAAGTGAGAGAGGAGAGAGAGAGAGAGAGAGAGA